AGCCCCTGCCAGAAAACGCACAGCCCGCGCCGGCAGGGGCCGCCCGGCAGGGAAGGGGACGAAGAGGAAGGCGGGGCGGGGGAGGGGGGGCGGGGGCGGCAGTGGGTGGTCGCGGTGGTGGTCGTGGCGGTGGTCAGGGTGGTGGACGTGCATGCGGTGGTGTTGCTGGTGTGGTGGTGGTCGTGGCAGTGGTGGCGGTGGTCTCTCCCTCCCTCTTGCCCCTTCCTTCTCCCTCCTCCCTCGTCCCCTCCTCTCCCTCTCCCTCTCTCCCTCTTTCTCTCCCTCCTGCCCTCCCTCCCTCCCTCCCTCCCTCCTTCCCTCCGTCCCTCCTCGTCCCCTCTCCCTTCCTCCCGTCTTCCCTGGGATGGGCTCCAAATATGCACCAAGCCGTCTGGGCGGCCGGGGTGGCTCGGTGCATAGCCGCCCCAGCTTCCCAGCCTGTTGGATCCTGGGGCGTCCACGCGCCGAGCTCCGCCGCCGAGACTTCATCGGCTCCGCGGCCGACCGCATGGCCCGGCGCCTACAGTCAACCCGTAGATCAGCAAGGCTGCGCGATGAGGATGCAAGGGCCTTGGACGCCCACCTCGAGGCTCTTCGAGCGGGGCGTGGCCAACGAAAGTGGCCAAGGATGCACCGAGGAGGCAAGGCTGCAGGGGCACCCTTGGGCAGGCTGCCCCTCCTTGCTCTGCGGGCTGACTGTGCGTCGAGGAGCCACAGCGCGCCAGGGCTCTTCACGCGCTCGCGCGCGCGCTCCCTCCGGCGAGGCGGGGCGGGCGGGGCGGGCCAGGGGCGAGCCAGGGAAGGGCGTGAAGGGGGGGGGGGGGGGCGGCGAAGGCGAGCGGGCGAGCCCGGGGAGGCGGGGGGGGGAGGGACGGGGGAGGGAGGGGAGGGGGGGGGGAGGAGGGGGAGGGAGGGAGGGGATGGAGGGGAGGGGGTGAGGGAGGGAGGGAGGGGAGGGAGGGGGGGAGGGAGGGAGGAGGGGGGGAGGGAGGGGGGGAGGGAGGGGGGAGGGGGGGGGAGGGGGGAGGGAGGGAGGGGGGGAGGGAGGTGCGAGCGAGCGAGCGGGGCGGGCAAGTCGGGCGGGTCAGGCCGGCTCGGGCGGGGCAGGCCGGGTGCACGGTGCTCGCTCGCCCGCTGGGCGCTCGCCCGAGCAGGGGCGGGCGAGCGCGCGGGCGAGCGAGGGCAGGAGGGGGGCCCTCCCGCTCGGTCGCTCGCGGAAGCAAGAGAAGGCCGGCTCGAGCGGGCGGGGCATGCAATCCATGGCGCTCGCTTGCTCGCTCCTGCTCGCTCGCTCGCTCGCGCTCGCGCTCGCTCTCTCTCTCTCTCTCTCTCTCTTCCCCTCGAGCGAGCGAGGGAGGGAGGGAAGGAGGGGGCCCTCTTGCTCACTTGCTCGGTCGCTCGCTGAAGCAAGAGAAGGTCGGCTCGAGTGGGCGGGACAGTCACTAAACGGTGCCCGCTTGCTCGCTCGCTCGCTCGCTCGCTCGCTCTTTTTTTTGTTTCTCTCTCTCTCTCTCTTTCTCGAGTGAGCGAGCAAGCGGCATAGGGGTTCGTGCTCAAACCGAGCCCCTCCGACTCCCTCCCTCCCTACCTGCCCCTCCTCCTCCCCACCTCCTCCTCCACCTCCACCTCCTCCTCCTCCTCCTCCTCCTCCTCCTCCTCCTCCTCCTCCTCCTCCTCCTCCTCCTCCTCCGGCCGGCCGGCCCCGGCGGGCCGAAGATGCCCGGAGCACCTCAGACTGGCCATCTCCGAGTCCCCGGAGGGCTGGGGAGCCCGCGGCGGCGAGCACAACGAGGCGTCCGGCGCGACCTTTCCGCGGCGCCCGGATGAGGCTCTGTCAGCCCATGCGCTCGCGCTGCAGGATCCGACCTCCGACCCCTGACGGGCAACGCCTGGGCACTGCGGGGCAGACGAGCCCACAAGAAATCTCAAGAAACACCCGAGGAGACGACGTGGCCTCTGGAAGCAGCCGAGCAGCTGGCGGGATGGCAAAGACTCGTCACGCGTCTGGGGAGACCTATCATGGCCCTGGGCCATGATGTTATCTGCCCCCCCCCCCCCTAATCATCACCTCCCTCTTGGCCGCCCCCGAGACAGCTGTCCCCTGCGGAGAGCAGCGTTCTCCTCACCGGTGCCCTCCAAGGCGGACCGCAGCTCTTCCAGTTGGCGCTGACAGCGCTCCTCCACCGCCTGCCCGGGCGCGCGGGCCGAGCACACTCGAGCGGCCCTGGGCAGTAGTGGCCTTCGTCGGAGGAGGGCTAAGCCGGGCGGGAGAGCCGCCGTTGTCTCAGTTAGCCCTCGTCCGACTTTGGCACGCGTCCTGCCGATCGCAGCATGCGGTGCGACGGTCGCGGCCTGCGCGCTTGGGTTTGGCCCCCCTCGCGACGCCGAACGCTGCGCACAAGCGGCTTTAGCGAAGGGCCACCCCTACAGCATGCAGTCGGCTTCTCAGCGCGGGCCGCTCCGTGGCGGCCCCGAGCTAAGTGCGGTTGCTCCCTCTGACCTCCCCACATGAGGGGGCCACATGCGGGCCCTGCCCCCGCCCTCCCCCTCAGAAACCGTGGGGCCAAGATGCCCGTGGAGACCGCAGCGGCGAACAAAAAACCGAGCCCCGCCGACCCCCAACGCAGCCCCTTGGACCGGGTCCCCATCGCCGGCATGTTTTTTTTTGTTTGAGGGTCGGCGGGGCCAGGATGCCCCTGGAGACCGCACACAGAATGAGAGACAGCGGGCCGTGCTCGTCCAGGGCGCATGGGCACACGCAAAAAGAAACCTCAACGGAAGAAGCGGGCCCTGGCACAAGCGGGTCCTGGACCTACCTGTGGATCTCCCCTGCAGGGGAGATCCACAGGGAGATGCATGAGCAGGCCCCATGGGGCCAGCTCATGCCGAGTCCTTCTCTGACAGCCCCGCCCGCGGGCAGAGGCACCCGCGGCGCGGCGGTGCTCTCGAGGCGTGGGCCCCCGAGCCTAAGCCCGGGCCTCCTGGGGAGCGGAACTGCAGTCCAGGGAGGAGCCTCCTCCTCCTCCTTCCCCTTCTCCTCCTCCTCTTCCTCCTCCTCTTCCTCCTCCTCCGCCCTCCTCCTCCTCCTCCTCCTCCTCCTCCTCCTCCTCCTCTTCCTCTCCTCCTCCTTGGAGGTCGAAGCTGGAACTTGTTGGGCGGCGGGCGACCCAAACCCGCGGGACGCAGGGACACCGCAACGCAGGGAGAGGCCAATGAATGTTGCAGAGGAAGGGCCGCAACGGCAACGACACAAAGGCACCCTGGATGAAAGCGCGCGTCCCTACTAGGGGCGTTGACTGTATTGGGTCAGACATTTGTGTATGTTGTCGGCCTCTGGAGGCGGGTATCACAGCAAGCGGCTCGGGACGACAAGCTGGTCCCAAGGACACGGGTCGAGTCGTCTATGGTCCCGAGGTTCGAGAATAACGCGTCGCCAGAGGTCTGGGGCAAGCTTTTCGTCCACAATCGTTCTTCGACGGTCCGAGGCTCGATGCCAGCGACGAAGGGGCCCAATAGAACAAAAGTGACCCCGTAGAGCGACTCACCGTTCCGAAAAAGGATTTGTCGGGCTCCAGACGGACCTGGCTAATTGAAGGCGCCGTCCCCCTCTCTGATCGACGTCCTCTAAGATGGTCCATAGAGTGCCCCTGAGCCTCCCCAAAGGACCCCAAGACAGTCCCAGTGGCTTTCAAAGTGGCCCCACCCCTACGAAAGCCCCAAGATGACCCAGGTGCCTTAGCAAGCTGCCGAGATCCTCCAATATCCCATAACGAAAGGTCCGCAAAGGGTTGTTCCCGCGCCCCCCTGGTCGAGTCAACTCGACTGGGCATCGTTCGCCAGACATGCGCACATTGAGCTTGACACTTTGCGTTGTAAGCTTCTCAGCGCCAGCGCCCCCTGAGTCGTCCTCCTCGCAACTTCATACGGTCCTTTGTCTACGCGGCCGCCCTTGTTCTCAATCGTAAGATTTAACGGTTCCGGGAGACCTTTGAATAACAAATCAGAAGTCCGTATACATTCAAATTCGCCTTGATGTCGTCCGCGGCCCTTCTATTCCTGCTAGCGTACGGCTCCATGGTCTCCAACCAAGGTTTGCCAGACGTCGTCGACGCCAGCCTCCGGCGAAACCAAGAGACCGCGGTCTCACGCAGGAGGGCCTCCTGTGTGTGCCTCCGGTGTTCCTGAAACCGTTGTCGCGCAGCGCCTCCCAACACTTCTGGGTGATTTGTCTGTGGCAATATTGCGGCCCCTGTCCAACATGAGGTCCTCGCAGCGCCCCTCTGGGACCGCTTATTCACGGCGCCTCGCACGCCCGCCGCAAAAGCCTCTGGGGCCTCTGGAGTCTCGCCCGTGTAGCCGGAATCGAAAACCACCACGCGCTGCTTCCCGCGCATCAGCTGCGGTGCTCACCGAACGTCGATTGTCCCCCATCAGACCAGGAGGAGGAGGAGGAGGAGGAGGAGGAGGAGGAGGAGGGGGAGGAGGAGGAGGAGGAGGAGGAGGAGGAGGAGGAGCGAGCGAGCGTCTTGTCGCGGCAGGTCCGCCGAGTCATCTGCAGCTCTCCTGGCCGACCCATCCGCGCTTACCCTTTTTGTTGCGACAACCCGCGCGGCTGCCTAAAACTATCCGCTTCCGCGCGGGGCGAGCCTGGAATGCTGCAGGCGCCGGCCTGTGCGCCCTGCGGCCCCTCCCCTCGGGTCGGGCGAAAGGGGGGGATAGCAAAGGGGGGGTTTGAGCATCAGCTCACGTAGCTGACTTTCCCGGCGCCGCCTGGCGCCGGAGGCGGCGATGTATCGAGGAATGGGCCCTTCAGTGAGGCCGACACCAGCTGCATGCAGCAAATTTCGTACCCCCCTAAAACAGGGCTAGGATCGGGATAAATCGCTCCAGAGCGTTCCGGAGCGCTCTCAGAGCGTTCCGGCACGCTCTGGAGCGGCCGCGGCGCCCAATACATCCTCCAGACCCGCCGACTCCCAGAGATTTCGAGTTATCCCGATCCGATTTTGTCCCGATCTTCGCGTCGTTTTACCCCTCCTTTCCCACTCCCCCCCCCTTCGTCCGGCCCGATCCCCTCCGGGGGCCCGCGCCGTCTTGAAGCGGTCCGGGGCCTTTTGCTGCTCGCCTCGTCCTGGAGTGCCTGCCCCTGTGCTCCCGAGGCCCTGCGGGGCCGGCCTCGGACCACCGTGCGGGCGGCGTCGGCCGAGGGCCCTGGGCCGCGTCTTGGCAGGAGGTGCCTTGACAATTTTTTTTGTTAAAAACAAAAAAAACTTGGATTTCCCATTCAAGTTTTTTTGTTTTTTGGGGGAGTTTGAGTTCCCGGCCACAGATTTTTCGAGGATTTCGGCAGGTTTTCCTATGGACCGCCTGTAGTCAATTGCCGAACCTAACGCTGGGCACAGTGTGACGGGGACGACCGAACGAGTGGCAATGAGGACGACGCCCGCAAATGTCAGGAGGCAACTGCCGGGAGGTCTTCGTCGGAAGGACTAGGGAGGATTCAGCCCCAAGGGGGCGCTGTGACACCAGAGTGGGCCTCGCATGAAGCGGGACCAAGCCGGATTGGACGGGATTCAGCCGGATCAAACGGGATTGAGCGGGATCAGGCCAGATGAAGCTAGATTTCGGACCAGGGCGAAATCAGAATTTGACCTCCCAGGAAATGCATCCGAACAAATGGGCCTGAACCCTAACTGTAGGTCATCCCCCAGGGCGCCGCTGCGGGACGCCCTCTCCCTCCTCCCCCCCCAGGCAAATCTTGACCGTCTTACTCCTATCCTCCTCCTGCCCCCCCCATCCTTACATCTTCCCTCCAGCTCGCCCTCCCTGTCTGTCCTTGTCCCTGCTTCTCCTTTACTTTCGCACATCCCTTTCTTGTGATCGAACATGTTGCTCACTTTGTCAACACGAATTCGCTCTTCGTCCAACCTCCTCCTCCACCTCGTCCCCCCTCCTCCTCCTCCTCACCATCCTCCTCCTCCCTCCCCCTTCTCTTCCTTGTCTTCCTCGTCCTGTTCCTCCTCCTGTTCCTCCTGCTCCTCCTCGTCTTCCTCGTCCTGCTCCTCCTCCTGTTCCTCCTGCTCCTCCTCCTCCTCCTCCTCCTCCTCCTCCTCCTCTCCTCCTCCTCCTCCTCCTCCTCCATCTCCTCCTTCACCTCCTCCTCCTCCTCCTCCTCCTCCTCTTCCTCCTCCTCCCCCTCCTCCCTCTCCTCCCCCTCCCCGCCCCGACCCCGAGTCCGCTCGGCACCGATGTGCGGAGCCCTCCCGGGGTCTGTCTGGGGCCAGCCGCTCGCCCTGCGGATCGTCTTCCTCCCCGAACCTCCCTGGGCGCCAGCGAAGCGGCCCCTGGCGGCCGAGGTCGTGAGCATCGTTTGCAACCGATCCACGTCCCCAGCGGCGTGGCCTGGGCCCCACTGGCCGCTTCACCCCCCCCAGATGGGGATGGAGGCCGCCCCCTTCGGGCTTCGAGGGAGGTGCCCCCAACTGGGGGGGGGTGATCTGGTGGGGGCCTCGCAGGGGATGGGGCTGGAAGGGGCATCGGCTGAACGATACCGAGATCGAGGAGAAGACCTCGTGACGCGCACCTTGGGTCGGGCGAAAGGGGGGGATACCAAAGGGGGGTTTGAGAATCAGCTCACGTAGCTGACTTTCCCGGCGCCTCCCGGCGCCGGAGTCGGCTATGTATCCAGGAGTGGGCCCCTCGGTGGGGCCGAAGCCAGCTGCACGCAGCAGATTTCGTACCCCCCTAAAACAGGGCTAGGATCGGGATGAATCGCTCCAGAGCGTTCCGGAGCGCTCTCAGAGCGTTCTGGAACGCTCTGGAGCGGCCGCGGCGCCCAATACATCCTCCAAACCCGCCGATTCTCAGAGATTTCGAGTTATCCCGATCCGATTTTGTCCCGATCTTCGCGTCGTCCGGCCCGAACACCGCACCAGCACGACGAAGCACGGCCGGGGAGCCCTGGGCCCCTCGCCGAATGGATCGACCCGTGAGGGGCCTCGGGGGCCGGGAATCTCAGGGGGCCGCCTCGCCCGCGAGGCCGCCCCCGCGCGGCGAAACGTGTCCGCGGGAGCCACGGCAGCGCGCCTCGGTGTCCAGACCGCGGGGGGATGGACGTGGCCCGCTCTGGGCCCCGCCCCTCGCCCCCCCCCCCCCACCCCACACCCACCCACACGCACCCCACACACACACACACACAGGCACACACACGCACACACACGCACACACACACACGCACACACACACACACACACACACACACACACACACAACACACACCACACACCACACCCACACCACACACACACACCACACACCCACACACGCACACACACACACACAGCACACGCACACACACGCACTCACGCACACACACGCACACACCACACACGCACACACACACCCACACACACACACCGCACACACACGCACACACCGACACACACACGCACACACCCACACACGCACACACGCACACACGCACACACGCACACACGCACACACGAAACACACGCACACACGCACGCACGCAACGCACGCACGCACGCACGCACGCACGCACGCACGCACGCACGCACGCACGCACGCACGCACGCACGCACGCACCACGCACACACACACACACACACACACACACACACACACACACACACACACACACACACACACACACACACACACACACACACACACACACACACAAACACACATACACACACGCACGCACGCACACGCACACGCACACGCACACGCACGCACAAACACACAGATACATACACAAACAAAAAAACGACACAGTCGGGGCGTTGACCTAAGGAGCGGTAAATGAGGAACGAAGCCTTTTTTTCCCAGGAGCGCCAGGGGGTCTCGCCACCAAACAAAGGAGCATAATTCATGCAAACCTAAGGAACGGCCGACCCCTTTCCGAAAAGCAAGTGGACCTTATTCAGCACCCCGACCGTATGCCATCTCTTGGAGGTCCGAATGATACTTCCGCCAGCCTTCCGCTCTGCTGACGCCGCCTGCAGCCCGCCTAGCGCCGCCTGTCACCGAGAAAGAGATGTCAACCTCCCGAAGCCTCGAAGGCGAGGCCCTCTTTCTGGAGCGCACCATGCGGATGTGCTCGCTCGGGACGACCCCCCCTCTGGCAACCCCGGGGGACCCTGGCGGCAGCGTCGTCGGCGCCACTGGTCCCGTCGGTCAGCGCCGGCGGCTTCAGCTTCTCCTCCTCGGCTGCGCCCCGCCGAGAGGGGAAAGACCGCCATTACGTCGGCGGCGGCTGGATCGAGGTCCGACGGATGATCCAGGTGATCGAGGCGATCGAATGATCGCGAGCGAGCGAACCACGCGAGCATGCCTGTCGGCTGCTCGGCCCCGTGCAGGATCGAACGATCGATGTGAGTTAAGTCGGGCCTGTCCCCCTACAGGGGGATTTTCGAAGAAAAATCAAACATACCCCAAAAATAATCAACACATAGTCCGAAATAGTCTGGGGACAATTTTTTGAATACTTTTTGGCCTTCTCGGGGTATTTTTGGGGTATTTTTCATTTTTCGTCGAAAATCCCCCTGTAGGGGGACAGGCCCGATTTAAGAGAGAGGGCGGCGAGCCCAGGGGGAAAAGTGAGGAGGCCTTCTCAGCGGGCTCGGAAGCCCCCCTGGGCCTTCTGACAGGGCTGAACCTAAACGGTGTTGTTCGATTTCGTTGTGTGTGTTCGTTTTCCCTCGCTTTTGCCTCGAATCCGCCTCCACCGCAGAACGAGATCGAAACGAACACGGCCCACGAAATCGCCAAAAACACCGTTTAGGTCCACCCCTGCCTTCTGAGAAGCTCTCCTAAGCCTGCCCCGGAGGCACTGACATCTTCTCAGAAGGCCAGAGGGCCTCTGAGAAGTCCCGACGCCGTCTGAGAAGGCCGTCTCCTTCTCATTTCCCGACCCTCGCTCCCCGCCGGGAAGGGTCCTGCCGTGGATTTCGAGCCGCCTCTGTTCTCGAGGGGGCGAGGGAGCGGGGCTGAGCGAGGGCGTCAAAGGGTTCGGGTGCTCTGCCACTCTCCTGGGGCCCACGGCGGTCTCCGCAGGGACCTCCAGACACATCCGGCGAGCTCGCGAGCGCTCGTGGGGCGCTCCCGAGCGTCCAGGGCGCCTCATCGTCGCGCGCCGCGCGAAGAGCGCGACGCGCGATGAGCTCCGCGCTCTCGCGCCGTTCCCCCCGCGGGGGAAGGGAGGAGGGCAAGGAGGACTCGGAGCCGAGCCGCGAAGCGCGAAGAGCTTCGCGCCCGCGAGGGCACCCTTCGAGCAGGGACTGGGGATGGGAAGCTGGAGGGGGCAGGAAAGAATCGGGGAACAGAAAATAGCATAAACATAAAAGCTCGGAGGTCCGCGCGGATTTCTCGGATC